ATATAAAACTTCGTCTATACTCTAATAAAAAGTTCACCAGACCAAAGAGGTCACCTTAATACCAAAAAAAAAAAAAATAGTATCGTTATATAAAAGATAAAAATTATACTATTGTAAAATTATATTATTGTAAATTTATTGTTTAATAATGCCACGAGAAAAAGGTATTTTTTGGCTTGAATTCAAATTAGTCAAAGATAATTCAAATGAACCAAAAAAGTATTTGTTGCAAACATTGTAAAACTAAATATGCTAAAAATGCCTCAAGACTTCAAAACCATCTTGAAAAATATATCAGTTACCAAAAAAAGTTAATTGAAGAATAATTAATAAATACTATATCAAGTGATAATAATATAGTAAAATTTTAAAAAAAATGGTATATTCAGCCTATAAACATAGTAAAGTTGATCAGAAAGAATTGGAAAATTTATTAGCAAGAGCTTTTTATTTAGCTGGAATATCATTTAATATTATCGAAAATAATGATATTAAAGCTGTATTTCAAAAAGATATTCCATGGTTTAAAGTTCCATCAAGATATCATTTATCAAACACACTTTTAAACCAAGAATATGTAAAAATTAAACAACTTGTTGAAAGTATTTTAAATGAATCAGAATATCTTTGTATTACAAGTAATGGATGGTCTAATATTCATCGATTGCAAGTAATTAACTATATGATTACAACCCCAAGACCTTTTTTTTATAAAGCAATATTTACTGGTAAAAAACATCACACAGCAATTAATTTAGCTAGAGGAATTGAAAACATTATTAATGAAGTTGGTGAAAACAAGATCGCTGCAATTATTACAGATAATGCTAATATTATAAAAGCATCATAGGAAATTTTACAAATATCATTTCTACAAAAAGTATTTATTAAGTTTATTTATAATAATTTATTTGTTTAAAAAATATAATTTATACAGTATAAACTAATTTTAATTTATAATTTATTAGATTTTTTTAGGGTGTTGTTGGGCATACAGACTTAATCTTTGGATAAAAGATATTATTAATTTAGAGTAGGCATATCAAATTATACGATCTATGAAATTACTTTTGAAATCATCAAATAAGCTTAGCAACACTATATCAACTTCAAATAGAAGTTTATAATAATCAGATATCTTTATTACTTCCTAGAGATACTTGATCAGGATCTGTATTTTATTCAGCAAAAAATCTTCTAGAAATCAAAGCGGCAATTTAAAGAATAACATTAGAAGATAATATTAAAATTTCTGATGAAATTAAAAATTTAATTTTATTAGATAATTTTTGGTTCAATTTTAAACTTCTTTGTAATTTTCTTTCGCCTTTTGCTATTTTTTTAAAAAATTGCAAACTGATCAACCTACACTTTCAACAGTTTATTCAGAATTATGTAAACTAAAAATTTCTATTTCTAAAAATACTGAAGTTCCAAATAATTTTAAAACCAACTCAATTAGTAAAAAAACAGAATAATGGAATAACTTTCTTTATAATCCAGTAATTATATTAGTATACAAACTCGATTCTCAATATCAAGATAAAACTTTAAATTCAAAAAAGTGGGATTTAATTATTGAAGATGAATTAGTATCAAGTCAAGATCAAGAAATTATATTAAACGAATATGCATAATATGTTTCCAAAAAAGGGTATTTTGCACATCCATATTTATGAAATTCTAATCTTGTACAAAATCCAATTAATTAGTGGGTTTAGTTAAAGGTATATATCCTATATTAAGTAAGATTGTATTATGAACCACCTACTTCAGCAGCTTGCAAAAGAAATTGGTCAACTTTTGGCTTTATATACAATAAACTACATAATAGACTTACTAATCCAAAATAAAAAAATGCGTTTATATTCAATAGAATTTATGAATTTTAAGAAATCTGGGTTGGATAAATAAATTAAATAAAAATCTGAATTTTGTTGAGAATTTGATGAAGGATAATGAAGATTTAGAGGAAAATATATTTGATGATTTATTTTCAAATAATGAGTTAATTACATATAATAAAAATGAATACATAGATATCTGTAGTAATTCATAATTAAAATTGAAAGAACTGAAAGTGTAAGTATAAATAATTAAAATAAACATTGAATTAAAATTAGTATTTTAATCCGCAATCTGATTAATTCAGATTGATATGATAATTCAAATTAAATGCAGATATCTGTATTCATCAATTTAATACAGATAAATTCTTAATGTATTTCAGATAAAGGATTAGGATTATCTGGATAATAATCCGATACATATATATTTTCATTATTGGCGAGTTAACATAGCACTAAATTTAATTACAATTATATTGCCTTTTAAGTAGAGCATATGTAATAGAAATGGTTAAAATTCTCATGCAGTCTAGTTTAAATAATGTATACTAATTTTTAAGCTATATGACTTGCTTAAAAAATTCTAATTTAGGATAAAGCCTGAACTACTCAAAATAACGAAATATATTACTCGAACAAGAATAATCAAGATACATGTCATAGTTTATTTTTTTAATATCAAAAAACTTCTTAAAATCTAATTATTTTTAAACAGCAAAATTCTAAAATTTTGAATTGTCAGAAATGTGCTTAATTAAGTTTTTTTTGGAGCCAAAAGCTGGTAAATTTCAAATTTTATTGTTCAAATTTGAACATGTCTTTTACACCCTGATAACTAACCTTTTTTAATTTATGCTACTTATTTTCTCAAACTGACTATATATGAGTGCTATTAAGGAAAACCTGCTATTGCTTTTGATTATATTTTATACCTCTAATAATTTAGACTAATTGAGTCTAGTATAAATATAATTGAAAGCCTGATAACAGGCTTTTCCTTGATGGCAATCATATAAGGAATAGCTAGAATAGCTTTCTGGATTAATTGGTCTTTTTTTAAATATAATTAATCTAAAATTGTATTTGCTAATTTTTTTAATTATCAGTAAGAGCTGATTTCTCTTAGTGCCTTGCTTTTTTTTAACAGATCAATCTAAAATTGATTTTCTGATCATTTTAATTATTAGCAAGAACTGATTTCCTCTAGTGATCAATCTAAAATTAATTTGCTAATTTTTTTAATTATCAGCAAGAGGCTGATTCCTCTAGCATCCTAATAAAAAAAATAAATAAACTTTTTGCCAAGTTCAAGTATACATTCTGTACAATCTCTTAGTTAGGCAGATTTCTTGTTTACTAGTAGTAGAATTCTAGAAATTATAATATTTTATTATAAAATTGTATGAGCTGAATCATAAAATATGTAATGAATAAAATTAATAAACAATAAAGCTGTTAGACTTAAATAAAACAGTTTGTTTTTATATCCACATTAAAGTATTTAAAACTTATCTGATAAGTTAATAATAAAACCAAGCAATTAGACATTTGTTAGTATTTTTTTTTAAGTATCATATATATGCCACAATGGATTTTTATAATATAGAAGATAATTATGAACATTATCATAGAAATGGCTCTGAATCTGATAAAAATTCAGAAATCTTGCCAGAGACCCTTTACTTATCTGAAATTACAAGGCCTAATATTCAAGCAACATTCTTAGAAAAAGAAGATGTTAAAATATAAATATAAAAATGGCTAATATAAATATGAATATTCTAATAAGTTTAAAATTTTGCTTTAGCTAATAAATCAAAGAAAAAAAACAATACAAATATAAACAACCATCTTTTACTCGTGAATATTTTGAAAAAATTGTTAATAATCAAGATGAAGAAGTTCGGGTTTGCAAAGTTATGGATAAACACGGTATAAAATGTGGCACAAAATACAAGAATATTAGAAGTTCAACAAGAAATTTCATTGCACACCTTAGAGATATTCATGAAATCGTTTCACAGGATGAAGTAGGAGTTTTAAAAGAAGTATGTAAAATAAAATTTAAAGTAGAATTAGATAAAAAAATAATGAAAAGTTTTATAAAGTTTTTTTTTATATCTTTTTTTTTTAGCACTGAAATTCTAAAATTACTAACTTCATATGAAAAGTTCATCTCTATCCTAAAAGTATTCAAAAAAAGCATGAAGAAGCAATTCTTAAATGGATGTTACTAACAAACCAGCCTCTTTCTATAGTTACCAATGAAGTATATAAAGAAAAATAAACGAGTTTGATCTCACTTTTATTATGCCAGGAGAGAAAAAAATTAGAACAATGATTGTTAAAAGTTATAAATATATTAAAGAAAATTTACAAAATTTTCTTACCCAAACAACAGAAAATATTTCTTTAACAATAGATTTCTGGTCTAGTAGAGCTAAGCATAGGTATCTTGGAGTTACCACAGTTTGAATTGCACCAAATTTTAAGATTAAAGATGTATTATTAGAAAATAAATATGTTCCTTTACCGCATACTAGTAAAGTAATTGCTGATGAAATTTATAAGTGTATTGAAGCTTGGAATCTTGGACATCACATCATATCAATCACTACTAATAACAAGTCCAATATGGTCACAGCTTTCACTTTACTAAACCAAAAAGACAAATGTAGTGAAGTTAAACGTTATTTGTGTATAGCCCATACTCGTCATTTGGCAATTGGAAAAGGACTTGCACTAGCTGAAATCTTAGTAGCACGTACAAGAAGATTGATTTAATTTTTTCAATCTCAAAAACAAATAGAACGACTAGAAGAAGTGCAAATAAAACTAGGTTACACGGATATCATGCATTGTATTCAAGACGTGTCTACAAAATAGAATTTATTATATTATTCCTGGAATCATCTTTTTTTTTTTTTAAAGAATGCTATTATTCAACTTCAAGCCGATTTATATACATCGATTGATAGAGAAAGTAAGAAAGATAGTAGTAAGTTAAAAAAACTTCTTCTTTCAGATAAAGAATGAGAATTATTAGACAAACCTATCAACCTTTTGATGCTATTTGAGGAGGCAACACAAGAGTTTTCAGAAAATACTTATGTGACATTAAGTAAAGTAATTCCACTATTAAAGAAATGAATTATAATTTAGCAAGTGAAGTACTATTGAATGATAACCTTTTTTCGAATGAGGATACTGTATTTGAATTGGAGGCAGAATGAATACAACCTATAGACTTGGATGATTATGAAATTATTAGCAACATTACTAAAAAAGGGTCTCAATTAAAAACCTGCTAGACACAACAGTTATTTTGAATAAAATTAAACAAAATATCTATAATGCATTAATCTATTATTGGAATGACCCAAATGATCTCAGTTTAATAGCAACTCTATTAGACCCTCATTATAAAAGTTTAGATTTTTTAGGTGATGATTCTGAAAAACAAATTATTATTCAAAAACTTCATGATGAGCTTAACAAAGTAGAAGAACCAGTACCTGATATTTCAATCAATCTGACTCCATCTAATGTAGAATCTTCAATACATTCACACAAAGTATATCTCCAACAACACCAATTGAAAAGAAAAAGAAATGATAAATTGGCACCAAGTTTACAAAGTGTTGATTAGTGATTGGTGCCGTAATTCAAAATGCAATTTGTAATAATGTAATAATTATTTATTACAAAAGTAGTAATTGTAAT